GCTCGCCCGACACGCCGCGAATCGCAGGGCTGCGCCGCGCTCTGCTCACCCAAGCGTCCCCCCTGGCGAAGCGCGGCGAGCCCGCGCGCTGTCCGAGGTGTAAATGTGAAGCTGGCTGTACAATGCTGCTACAAAAGCCACACGTCAGTAGTGAATGTAAATGGCGTCTGTAATACGGTGAAAATGGACACGTTTTCTTTTCAAATGTGATGTAAACTTTGTACAGTAAAAGAATTTTTTTTTATATTTTCTATCAACTGAGTGTCTTCCAGAATTGCTATTAAATTAATTAAAAATTGTTAGTATTAACAACAGTTTCTGTATTAGTTTATGCAAGCAGAAGAAAAAAGGAAAAAAAAAAAGAGTGCACTCCATGCTAATGAAATTCTGGATATGTAGGAATCTTTTCAGTGAATAAATCTTTGCTCTGGATAAAGCGAGTGTTCCAGAATTGTGGTTTGACATCTTCCCTCCCATCTACTTGGAGCCAAATGAAAACAGGAGATTTCCATAGAGACCCCAGACCCACGGGTCAGCCCTTGGGGAGCTGGAGCTGGGCCTGAGGGGTCCCAGGGGGGCCGTGGGTGCTAAAAACCCTTCTCAGAGCTGGGCAGGAGTGAGCAGCTCTCCTTCCAGAAGGTGGTCCTGTTTCTCAAAATCCAGTTGCAGCAGCGAATCTCTTGGAATAACGCGCTGAAAGGTGACAAAGTCTCAGGTTTAGCTCATGTGAGAAAAGAATAAGATTGAGGGGGAAAAAAAAATCAGCACTAACCCTTTTTTCTATAGTCCTTGCTGTGCCTTACAGCTCCCACCAGACTGACTTGTTAATTTGCAGCCTTTAGCCCCATTTGCTTTCTTCCCGTTGTATCAGCCGTCAACCACCGACATCCCTCAACAACCGAGAGTACAAGCCTGTGTCTTTTCTGCAAGCATATCCACTGAGCTTCCTCTTACAAGTCAAATTTCCGAGGCTTTTCAGTTACCGTGGGGCTGACAAACTGTTCCTTCAGCTTTCCTGACAGGCTGCAGCACCAGGCAGTTCACTTTCCCTTGGCTCCAAGACATTCTTGGAACAAACCAGCTCCAGGTGCCTCCTCCTGGGCCCTCCCCGGGACGTGGTTGCCTCTCCCCACAGCCCCCCGCCTGCCCCAGATATTGAGTACATTTGCAATTATCAAAGTTTTCCCTCCTGGATATGACGGGTCAAGTCATTTCACGGTGTAGGAACGCCGTCGTTCAGTGTTCCTGAAGCACTGAACTGTGTCGCGAAGCTGCCTCCCACCCATGGGCCCCTCGAGGCCGCTGCTTGGACCCCACCGCTGCTCCTCAC